AGTTACTAGAGGTGCAGTCCCCTGTGATAGTCTGTTCAAGCTTTCAACCCTCAACTCGCAGCCTGAAAACAGACCCTGAACCCTTAAAATCCTTGACCCACACACCCCAACACCCTAAACCCTGAACCCCTAAACCCCTAAAGCCTAAACCCTAAAAGTTGAAGAAGATTTCGTGAACAGTCTATCCGACTCAATCCCATAAACCCTCAACGCTCCTGAACCCTGAAACCCGAAACTCTTATAGAATCTCGTCGCGATCCCTTGAATCAAATCGAAAGAACCCCGTGGAAACCCTCAACCCGAATGACCCCTTTGAGATTCCCAAACCTTAAAATCATAAAACCCTAAACCCTAAACCCTAATGGAGGCCCTTGTAACCCTGATCCCTGAACCCAGAACCTAGACCGTCAGCCCTTGTAGAACCCCTGTTTGCCCTTACGCAAACCCTTAATTAAACCTAAACCCCAAACCCCGAAACACTAAACCCCCGAAACCCTGAACCCTAAACCCTAAACCCAAACCCCTAAACCCCTATACAACTATATAACCCCTAGCCCTAACCCTCTCCCTAAGGGTCCAAATACCCAAATAGTATATACTTTGACCCCAAGGTACCTGTATAGGGACTACTTTAAGGCCAAAGTATATACTATTTGTGTACATGGACCCTTAGGGTTTATGAAGCCCCTACACCCTGAATTTCAGCAACCGAGCCCCTGGCGCTCGCTGCTTTGGCGGCCTTCCGACTCCCCATTCTTGTGGCCTCAAAGGTTCGGGATCAGGGCTATAGGGGTTTATCCCTCAACCCTAAACCCTACCCTAAACCCTAAACCCTAAAGGGCTTAAGGCTTTAGGGGTTTAGGGTTTAAGGCTTTAGGGCTCGGGGTTTGGGATGAAAGGTATTGGGTTTAGGGCTTTAGGGTTCAGGGTTTAGAGCTCAAGACTTTAAAATCTGGGTTTCAAGGTTTGGGGCTTCGGCTTTAAGGGTTTTTCTGGGTAAGGGTTTAGGGGTTTGGGGTTTAGGGATTTAGGGGCTTTGGATATCGGGCTTTAGTGGTTTTGATTATAGGGCTTTAGGGGTTTGGGGCTCAGGGCGTTGGGTTTGGGGTTGGTCTACCGCTTAGAGGTTTAGGGGTTTGGGGACTAGGGATGGCTACAGCAAGCGGTTCAGGGTTAAGGGCTTTGGTGTGTAAGGTCCCCGGTTTTAGGGATAGGGGTTTAGGGGTGTAGGGCTTAGCGTGTAGGGTTTAAGGTTGAGGGTTTGCTTTGTGCAAGTATTCATACATGGCTGTTGGGGGTTTATCTGCCCTTATAAAGAGTGTTGGAGTTTGGAGGAATGCCCTGGTATAGTGTAAGTCTACTATGACAGACTCGAAGGGGACGCTTGTTAATTGTTGAGACATTTGTATTATGCAGATGGCACCTAATTAACCTCAACTGCCCTTGCGATGATGAGCAACGCCGAAACCTAAACTTTGAACCCTAATTCCCAAGCGCTGAAAGACCCCCCTTAGAACCCTTATGCAGAACTAGAAAAGTATAGCTATGCAATGGCCAAGACCCTATGACTATGACTTCCTGATCAAACTCTAAATCCTCAACCTAATCCCTAAAACCTGAACCTGAAATTGAAGCCCTAAACCCCTAAAGCCCTAAAGCCCTAAACCCAAACTCCATAAAAAGCCCTCTAAACCCCACACCCCCAAAGCCCTATACCCAAAACCCCTAAAGCCCTATATCCCAAACCCCCAAACCCCTGAACCATAAGAAACCCCAAACCCATAAAGCCCCGACCCAAAACCCTCAAACCCCAAACCCTAAATCCTAAAGCCCTAAACTTAAACCCCTAAACCCCTCAACCCAAACTCCATAACTAGACTTTGAAGTAACCAGGGAGAAAAAGTATAGACTTTAATTTCATACTGGTTCCCTTGAGGAACAGGTCCAAAAAAAAAGTATTCAAGTATCGTACTGCAAAACCCAAAATCCATAAAGCCCTGTACCCAAAACCCCTAAAGGCCTATTTCCCAAACCCCCAAATCCCTAAACTTAGACCCCAAACCTCCTAAACCCAAAATCCATAAAAAGCCCCCTACCCAGAAGCCCTAAACTTAAGCCCCTGAACCCCGCAACCCACAATCCATAAAGCCCTTACCCAAATACACAGATCCCAAAGTCCTAAACCCAAACCAAAACCCATAAAGCCCTAACCCCAAACCCTCAAACCCCAACTCCTAAACCCTAAAGCCCTAAACTTAAACCCCCAACCCCCTAAACCCAAAACCCATAAAGCCCTATACCCCTAAAGCCCTATATCCCAAACCCCCAAATTCCTGAAGCACAAACCCGAAACCCTAAACCCTAAACCCTAAACCTTAAACCCTAATTCGTCCGGGGCCCGGGCTGCCGCCCTCCTGTCCGGAGCTGCTGGAGCTCGAGGTGTCCGAGCCTGGCAGGTGCTTTTAAAGGGGTTTTAGGGCTTATAGTGTTAAGGGTTTAGGGTTTAGGGTTAAGGGTTTTAGGGTTTATAGTGTTTAGGGTTCAGGGTTTAGGGTTAAGGGTTTAGGGTTTAGGGTTTAGGTTAAAGGGTTTATAGTGTTTAGGGCTGCTTTTAAGGCGTTAAAGGGTTTTGGGTTTTAGGGTTTATAGTGTTTAGGGCTGCTTTTCAGGGGTTAAAGGGTTTTAGGGTTTAGGGCACTTAGGGTTCAGGTTTTTGGGTTTATGGTTGAGGGCTTAGGGCAGCTGCGTTTAAGGGGTTTAGGGTTTAGGGCTTAGGGTTTAAGGCTTAGGGTAACCCTGAACCCTAAACCCTAAACGATGAGACTACTGAGTTTGAGGGTCAAAGATTCGATCACGGCTACCGCTTTACGGATTAGGGGCCGAGGGCTGCAGGTGTAGGTCCAAGGTTCCAAAAGAATATCCTTATCACGGTGTTGGGGACCTGGTTCGATAATAGTACCCTAAACCCTAAACCCTAAACCCTACACCCCAAAGTCTGCCCAAATCATGGTCATATTGTGGAATTGGGCCGCAAAGACCTGGTTTTGGGGACCTGATGCCATACTAGTAATATGCAAGGACCCTCAACCCTAAACTCGATGCCATAATAATAATATTAATAATAATAATAATAATATCTATGGACCCTCAAAACCAAACCCGAACCTCCTAAAACCCAAAATCCATAGAAAGCCCCCTAAACCCCCGAAAGCCCTATCCCAAACCCCCCAAATCCCTGAACCCTAAATCCAGGGCCAGCTAACTCCATAATAGTACCCGGAGACTATCCCTTAATTAAGGAATATATACCTTAAATCATATTAGGGATCCCAAATATGATTTAAAGTATATTCCCTAATTAAGGGATATTGGAGTCTCTGGGAACCCTAAACCCTAAACCCTAAACCCCAAACCCTAAACCCAAAACCCGAAAAAGGTGGTAGTATCCATGGACCCTCTGGGTAAGGATTTATCTATGGCCCAGGGCCCTGGGAGCCTTAATAATAAGACTACTAACAATTATAACATATATATATATATATAGCTATTTAGAATGTTATAATGGTATATAATAATATACAACAATAAACAATAATATACAATAATGTACAATAATATAAAGAAGAAAATATACAAAAAATATAACACAATATAACATAGTATAGAATATAATACACAATAATAATATATAATAGTAAAAATAATATCAATAATATATAATAATAATACCATATATATATATATATATATATCATGATACTTATGATAATATTAATAGCAACAACAATAATACTGATAACAACAATAGTAATACTAGCAATAATAATGACATGTAACAATACAGTACATATTAATATCTCAAAAATATAATAATAATAATAATGCTTAGAATATGGTTTGGGGTTCCTTTGTAGTATAATTATAATGTATGATTACGAACCTAAGGAGTAGGTTGGCTTCTATATTAGGGTTCAGGAATTTTGATTTCGGATGTAGTAGAGCCGTGGGGTTGTAAGTTGTTGCGCTCATGCACTTTCACCCTAAACTCTAAAGCCCTAAACCCCTAAACCCTATACCCTTAATATCGAAACACTGGCCGGGCCGGCTGCTGCTGACCTGGGTGCAATTGGCACGAACGACTCATGAGGAATAGTATAGGGTTTAGGGTTTAGGGTGTAGGGGCCTTGATAGTTAGAATAGGATTTTGGGGTTCCTTTAAGGGGTTACCTTTAAAGGGTCCCTTAAAGGGCTGTATAAGGGCTATTAATACAAGGGTTTAGGGTTTACGGGCCTTCATAATTACAATAGGGTTTTGGGGCGCCTTATACTATAGTTATAATAGTTATAATGAGGAACTCCCACAGTAGTATTGGTAATTACTCAAGCCCCTACATTTTACACGGAAGAGTCTCGGTGAGGTTCGGTGAAGTGTCCTTTAAGGGGAAAGATGCAGGATATACCCCAAACCCTAAGGGTTCAGGATTTTTAGGGTTTAGGGGTTTAGGGTTTAGGGTGTAGGGGTTTAGGGTTTAGCGTTTAGGGTTTAGGGTTTAAGGTTTCAGGCTTACCTCTACCCGAAAGGACCTATATCTTTTTACGGTTCATTATCATGGTTTCTATATCTAGTTCCTTACAAAAGTAGGTCTTTCCGGCTACAGGTAGGGTTTAGCGGCTTAAGGGGTTAGGGTCTAGGGTTTGGGGTTTGGGTAGATGTTCGATTTTGTAGGGCCTTCGAGGGCCAAGGGTTCAGGGGCACAGATATGGAACTTGCAACTGCTCTCCGAAGCGGTTTGAAATGCCAATGGAAGCCGCACAAGCTGATGTGCCACATCCCCGAAGAGTCATACAGACATTGACAGCCTTTTACGTTCAAGAAATACATGGCGGGAGACCATCCAAACGGTTGCATATCAGACGTTTAAACTTAGACTCATCCTGACAAGCACTGTCGGAAACTCAGCTTTTGACAGCTTTTTTTTGCATGATTCGCCAGCTCTGCATCACTCAGAGGTTTCTGCGCTATGGTTTAAGATCTTCTCTACCTCGGAGCTATTCAAGGTTGTTGAAGGCGACACAGTCGTCGTGCTCGGCAACTCGATCCCAGTCTCATTGACGCGGAAAAAAGTCAATGTGCCCGATGCAGGCTCACAGGACTCGACATCGGTCTCGTAGATGAAACCTGACAGCAGCCGTGCGCGAATATTAACTGCGCCATCTACAGGAAATCGATCTCCTGTCCCTAAGACAGCCTTGAATCCTTCTTTAAAATACCCATATAGGCCCCATAGTAGTTCCTTTTTGGGATTGCCTTATAGGATTCTAAACATGAACCTCAAAAAGGAACTACTATGGGCCTATGGGTATACTACACTACCCGTCTGCAGCCGGTCTCCATGCAAAGATACGATGCCTCATCTGGCCGCCTCACAGCTTACTCTGAGGACCACCACCCCACAATCTGTAAACGCCCCTTTTTCGTGCCAAGCAGCTGCAGGTTCCCGTGTGTTCGAAGGCGCTGGCGTTGAAGGTGTGTGGCTGGAAGCGAATGGAGTCGCAAACCTGCTGCTGGGGCAATTCGTGCAGGTCTCCCACTAGTAGAACGCCCTCCGCCCGAAACCCGAAACCCTAAACTCTTAATGAGCGCAGATCTCTCATTAGTAAAACTCCCTCCATTGCAAACAGCCTCAGGGTCGGACAACTAAACTGAGAAAGGCGGGTGTACTACTGCTGATGATCTAACTCCTGCAATACCTTCAGGACGGTAAACTATAGGAGTTATGAATCCTTACTATGGGTAATGCAGGATCCTAAACCCTAAACCCTAAACCCTATAATCAACCGTAGTTTATCAGGGGTCTACATCACCGAACCAGCGCCCAGGGCTTGGGTTCAGGGGCTCAGGGTTAGGGTTCTATGTTCGCTCGCCATATGTGAATAGGGTTTAGGGTTTAGGGTTTAGGGTTTAGGGTTTAACCTCCGCTACAATCTTAAATCTACATCTTAATAGTACAAGACCCGAATCATGACACTCTTCGCCATCTCCAACATGTTCATCGTCATGGTGTCATGGAGCCTTGCACCCAAAAAACCAAAGCCTGGATGCACGGCCCCCAAAAAACCTTCACTATCTCAGGAAAATATGGAGCCTACAAGCTGCGCCACTACCAACTAAAGTCATACCTACGTAACTATGTGGGGTTCCATGCGGGACAGGGGTCAGCAACAGCTGGAACCGAAATGACACTGATATCAGCCTTTCAAAATCTCTCAACTTCTCAACGCAAATATGAAATGGACGAGTTCCCCCCGGCACAACAAAACCCTAAACCCTAAACTTATAAATCCCATGCCCTAAACAGCGACACCTAAACTTATAAACGCCACACACCCTAAACCCTAAACTTCTAAACCCCAAAGCCTTAAACGGCGACAGGGCCTAAACCCTAAACCCTAAACTGCGACACCCTAAAACCCCTAAACCAGCTCCCGCTTCTGCCTCGAACTCTTTGCCAGCGGCTTTCAGGCTCGTTCCGTTCGTCGTCCGCGGGTCCTTCTAGGGTTTAGGGTTTAGGGCTCGGGGGCTTTAGGGTATAGGGTTTATAGGGCTTCAGGGTTTGAGGATTTGAGAGATTAAATTTTGGAGTTTAGCGTTTAGGGTTTAGGACTTTTGGGTTTTGGGATTTTAGGGCTTAGGGTTCAGGGTGTGTCTTGGACACCTACTTGGGTTTAGGGTTCCGGGGCTTAGGGCTTAGGGTTTAGCGTTGAGGGCTTAAGGGGGAATTGTTATAAGGGTCCTATAAGGGTTCTACAAGGGTTTGGGCATAGGGGCCTATAAGGGTTCTAGAAGGGTAGAAGTGTTGAGGGTCAACGGGTCCATGTTCCTATGTAGTGTAAACTTTGGCCTCAAGGGTGTTCCTGTCTTGATACTGACAGGTCAACATGTATACACTACTGGTGCATGGACCCGTACGGAATGTTCTGTTTACGAAGGTTCGATACACACTGCCTTGCATTTTACATGGCCTTCGTGAGTTGTACATGCTTGACAGTTTAGCCATTTCGGGTGTGTGGCATTGGGTTTGAGAGGTCCGGAGATCTGGAAGAAGCCTCCTGGTCTCATTGGGCGGGCTCATGATTACGGCCCCTAAACCCTAAACCCTAAACCCTAAACCCTAAACCCTAAACCCAAAACCCAAAACCCTAAACCCTAAACCCTAAACCCCTAAACCCTAAACCCACGAAGTCTCTGGGTGAAAGGTGCAGGACTGAAGATGCAAGCGAATCTTCATAACCCTAAACCCAAAACCCGGCTTAGGGTTTTAGGGCTTAGGATTTAGGGTTGTGCAATACCTACTTATGGGACTTTTGGAAGTTGAGGGGGCTTCATCGTGTACAGATCACGCTTATAACCTTTGCCCAAAAGCTACAGCTGAAGCTCAATCCGAAATCTTGAGCCGCAAATCCTGAACCCCAAACCCCGAAATCTACCCATGGGCCCCATAGTAGGTCCTTATTGGGGTTCATATTTAGAATGCTATAAGGTAATCCCAAAAAGGAACTACTATGGGGCCTATGGGTAGACCCCAAATCTGATTCAACCCAAGCACCTATGTAAATCCTAAACTGCTTAACCCAAACTCTGAACCCTACCTGGGAATCCAAAAACCTACCGCTTGAAGGGTTTAGGGTATAGGGTTCAGGGCTTTAAGGGGTCTTAACCTGCTATTTTGGAGGGTTTGGGACCCTAAACCCTAAACCCTAAACCCTAAACCCTAAACCCTAAACCCTAACCCGGGCCCGCGCAGTCGTCCTCGGGTCGAAGGACGTCGTCCTCACACCTGGACCGACGGGAAAAGGTGGGCTTCTGGATTCAGAAAATGGTTTAGGGTTTGGGGTTTAGGGTTTAGGGTTTAGGGTTTAGGGTTTAGGGTTAAGGGGATGTATGGGTTTAGGGTGTTTTGAATGTGACGGATAATTTAGGATTTAGGGGTTGAGGGCTTAGGGTTTACGGGCTTAGGAGGCTCAGGGTTTGGGGTGGAGGGTTTAATTAAGGGTTTGGGGTTTAAGTTGCGGTTTGGAGTTCCAGAGTTTTTCTAAAGTGTAGCGGCGCCCCTTTCTGCAAGCGTCACCCCACGCTGGGTTTAGGGTTGATTCGGGGCTTAGGGCTTAGGGCTCCGTGTTACGAGTTGAGGAACTTGCCACCCTTAACCCTAAAGCCTGAACCCCTCTTTGGACCGACCAGGATCTAGTGGCAGAGTGTGATAAGCTTGTCGGAGCTCTAACCTGGTACAGGGTTTGGGCCTGCAGAAGCACTTTTTTGGGGCTGTATGATATCGGCATATCTGCAATCTCTATACGACTCGAACTTAAAATGTTATGCATTTATGAAATCAGTTTTAGCCCAAACCTGAAAAGAGTTGCTTTGGGTGCTCCGGCGCCTTAAGCGGCGCGGGGCGGATAAACATTATGGGGCCTGACTCTCAAAACGGTAGGTTTGTGCATCCACAGTTCGCGCTAAATCTCAATGAAGGTTTATTGCAAGATCTGGCACCACAAAACCCTACACCCTAAACCCGAAACCGGCACAAGACTACTTCCACCACCGCGGCGATCCATAACCAAATTGATCTGCCTCTCACTCTGCAGCCGGCCCTGCGCTGCACTACAATTAAGTTACTTTAGGGTTTAGGGTTTAGGGTTTAGGGTTTAGGTTTTAGGGTTTGGGGTCTGCTAAAAAGTTACCACCACCCAAAGGCTCCATGTACCTTTATAGTAGTTACTGAAGCCTTAAGCCTGAAAGGGGTCCCTGTATAGGTACTGTAGGGCTTAAGTATCTACTATACAGGTACGTGGAGCCTTTGGGCCATATTCTGCATCACCCCATTTAAAGACCATTCTGTGGAGGATGGCAGCAAAAGCGCCAGCACTGTCTTCGATCTGCTGCACATTCGTCAGCTGAGGCTTCACAACCTTGAAGTCACGAACATAATAATCACACCCAGCTTAGGACCGATCCATGGCCAAGAACGGCTGCGAAAGTGGCATGAGAGGCTTGGATCTGCTGCACATTCTCCAGCTGATCCTTCACAGCACTGCTGTCACCGCCATAGTCTGGGGCACCCCATTTAGCGACGCTTCCATCACAGAACGGCTGCGAAAGCAAAACGAGAGGCTTGGATTTGCTGCACATTCTTGAGCTGATCCTGTACTGCACTACTGTCACCATCCTCGTCAGTAGCACCCCAGGTCACGACAGATCTATCGTCAAGAATGACGGCAAAAGCGCCGCAACTGTCTTGGATATGCCGCACATTCGTCAGCTGAACCTGCAAAGCACTACTGTCGCGAACGAAGCGAGCATCGGCCCAGGGCACGACCAACCCATCGCCGAGAATGGCAGCAAAACATAATGTATGAAAACGTCTGAGCTGATGCTGCGGGGCGGTACTGTTGCCACCAAAGGCAGCATCGTCCCAGGTTACGACCGATCAATCACCGAGAATGGCTGCGAAAGCAGCATGAGAGGCTTGGATCTGCTGCACATTCGCCAGCTGATCCTGCACAGCAGTACAGTCACCGCCAAAATCAGGATCACCCCATGTCACGACCGATCCATCGCCAAGAATGGCAGCAAAAGCCCTGCGAGCGGCTTGGATTTGCTGCACAGCTCGCGGGCTCGGGCTTAACTCCAGGAATAGGAGGAGAGTCTGCATGCAGACTCTCCTCCTCTTCCTGGAGTTACCCAGAGACGCCAATATCCCTTATAATTAAGGATTATACCTTAAATTATAGTAGGATCCCTAATATGATTTCAGGTATATTCCTTAATTAAGGGTTATATATTGGAGTCTCTGGGTAATTAGTCCAGTCAATCGCATGCCGGAGAAGTCATCGAACACTTCTGTGCCCTTGAGCTTCCTCTGCCAAATCAGCCCAGGACACTCGAAGTCATCGCCGAGAATGGCAGCAAAAAGCATAGTCCCTAAGGGTCCATGTACCCAAGTAGTGGAACATTGGCCTTAATGTAGTCCCTATATTAATACTTGAGGGCCAATGTTCTACTATTTGGGTACATGGACCCTTAGGGAGTGGGCAGATTGCATCTTGTACACGTTCGTCAGCTGACCCTGCACGAGACTGCTGTCACGCCAAAGGCAGACTCACCCCAAGTCACGACAGATCCGTCACCAAGAATCACGGCAAAAACCATGTCTGATTGTTTAGAGTGTACCTTGGTTGTCCTCCTGTTCCTAATGTTGTATAAACATGATGCGAACCCCTATATTGGGGCCCTAATGCCTTAATGCTCAGTGTTGTTGGCTTACGTTGTATGGGTGCTTTGGGGGGTTGTGCATAGGTGTTTTGGGGTTTTGCGTAGTAGATGTTTTGGGTTTCTGTATAAACATAATTGAATGCGAATCCTATAGAATCGTATGGGTAATTACTCCGACCTCTGCATTATGAACCCTAAGAACTCCCTAAACCCTTATAGAAACCTGATAGAGTCCTCTGAAGGCTCCAATAACTATAATTGCCTCTATATTACACACCAAGATTCAGGCTTTTGGGGACGAGGGACACTACTTTCTGAGTTGCCTGGCCCGAGACATGCAAAGAGTTTGGGGCTTGTAGGGTTTAGGGGCGTAAGGGTTTAGGGTTTGGGACTTAAGCGTCCTAGGGTTGCCCTTGGGCTCAAGCAACTGAAAAGCAGCAGCCAGCCATATGCAGCCCAGGTTCTGTGTCAAGTTATACTGCTTTATGATTCAGCTTTTTCGAGGGTTCCCATCAGGACTTTTGCGGTGTAACGAGTTGCTATAGGGTTCCGTAGCGGTGTCAGGCTAGAGGGATTTGCTCAGTGCAACATGAGATACTGGATAAACGATAACCTTTAAATCGAGACCCCACACCCTAAACGCCAAAAAACAAAATCCTTAAAACCAAACTCAGAACCACAAACCCACAACTTAAACCCTAAACCCTAAACCCTAAACCCTAAAACCCTAAAAAAGAACACAATCCGGTCAAAGCCCCCCATGCCCTGACTCTGTGGGGCCGCTCAGGTTTTTGTTTTTCAAAGTGCTGTGGGACTTTCTCTCTGCTGAGGGTCAGCTGAAGCCCTGTGCGCAAAGCACTCAAAACTAACAAACAAACAAACATGGCTCAAGGCCTCTGTACCTTGGAAGGGCTCTCATGCTTAGGGTTTAGGGCGTGGGGCATGGTTCAGGGTGTAGGGGTTAGGGGTTTAGGGTTGGGGGGTTTGGAGTTTAGGGGTTTAGAGTTTAGGGGTTTAGGGCTTAGGGGTTTGGAGTAGGGCTTGTAGGTTCGAAAGGGCTTATAGAGATCGCAGGGTCGGGGTTTAATTGTGGTTGCTCCGCGTTGTTTTATAAATTTAGCGGACATTACCAGAAGAAGCTAAGATAGCCCACAGCGCAAACACACTGCCCATAATGATGGTTCAAGTCCTTGCCAAAGGCATACTGGGTTTCTCTAGGCAAGCCTCAAACACCCTCGACCCAAAACCTTGAATATCCAAACACTAAAGCCCCTTGTGCCTGCTCTTGCACTCTTGCAAAGTGAAGTCACCGATTGTGGATTTGCCCTTGCCGAAGCATTTGCTGTTCCTCAGGTTCAGGCGGCAAAGGATTAATGTAGGGGCCTTAATAATCAGAATAGGGTTTGGGACATTTTCTACTATAGTTATAAAAAGGAACCCCCCAAAACCCTATCCTACCTACTAAGGCCCCCATATAAGGGGTGACGAAGAAAAAGATGCCGTTGAGAATGCAGAACTGAATATGTTCATGACAGTCCTGCCCATACCAATCAAAGAAATCTTGGTCTGCCGAAACCCTCAATGCACAACGCAACACAACAAGTTAAGCACTGACCGTCGTGATGAACAGCAGAATAGCAGCATCCATGGTACGAAAAAACATGGTTTTGCTGTTGCTGAAGCTGCTGTTGCTGATATTGCCGTCGTTGTTGCTGTTGCTGGTGCTGATGGGGTTGTTACTGTTGGAGATGTTGATGGTGTTGTTGTTGTTGTTGTTGGTGGTGGTGGTGGTGGTGGTGGTGGCGGTGGTGGTGGTGGTGTCGGTGTTGGACATGGTAACCCCGGTGTGTACCATCATCATCATCATCATCATCATCACCATTATCGTCATCATCATCGCCATCACCATCATGACCATCATCAGCAGCAGCAACAGCAGCAGCAGCATCGTCGTCGTCATCATCATCAACATCATCATCATCATCCTCAGCATCATCTACATTTGCACCTTCATCACGAACATCATGGCCCTGACTATGGTCACGACGGTGATGCCCTGGGAATCTGCCGCCTTGCATCGGGTTGGCCTGCCAAAGATAGCGGTTGCTGGGAGGAGCAGTCGTCGTGAGCGTCACCGACCTGGGCCATTATCCAACACCGGCAGCCTTGTGCTTGGCGGGATTGAGGACACTTTATATACCTTGGTCCTGACAGGGGCTAGTGTATCCGCACTCTAAAACCAAAGTATTACTATATTGCCATTGACCCTCATACCCTCAACCCTTGTCGTGATGCCTTATAGATCCCCTTTAGCACCCCTACAGAACCTGTAAACGGGCCCAAACCACGGAATTCAAGCTTTGACTGGTTCCGACCCTGCTCATCCGTTTGATTTTTTTAATTGAAGCAGAGAACTTTCAAGTCAATAAATTAAATTACACTAAATCCTGCTTGATGTACATATGAAATTATACAAGTAATCATAATTATAACATAAATTATAAAGCGGTGTTGGTCCATAAACCCCGAGCGGTGTAGCACTTCCTAGTGCCTTGAAGCAGCCTATTCGAGCCGTGTCAAGCCCCAGACCCGAGCCGTGTCCACCACAACACCCAAAACCATGCCCCTGGAGTTGAGTAATGTAGGTTCCTTAGAGGGTGCTATAAGAGCTGCTATAGGGGTTTAGGGTTTAGGGGTCTTAGTAATTAGAATAGGGTTTTGGAACTATAGTAACCCTAAGGGTCCATGTACCCAAATAGCATATACTTTGGCCTTAATGCAGTCCCTATATAGGTACTTTAGGGCCAATGTATATGCTATTTGGGTACATGGACCCTTAGGGTAATGTAGGGGCCTTAGCAATTAAAATAGGGTTTTGGAATTATAGTAAGGACCCAGACCCCCCCCCCCCCCCCCCGGAAATATGTATTGGTAATTGTTTAGGCCCTACAGTAGGTGTTAAGCATTCTACGGGGTTTTCCACGCAGTCCCATCACCCAGGGTCTAGGGTTCAAGAATAGGGTTTTGGGCCCCTAACAAAAACTGTGAATATAAGAAGGGAATGCAGGGAATGTTGTTGGTAACAATTGAGGCTCCTATATTACGAAGAGTGGGCGGTTTGTAATGTCACGGCAAATCATGGGCCGACCAGGACAGCTGGCGACATCTCGACTTGCTGCGAGTTACAGTGCCAGTCTTGACACTGTTTGGGTACGCATGACCCTAAGGGTCCATGTACCCAAATAGTATATACTTTGGCCTTAATGTAGTCCTTATATTTAGGTACTTTAGGGCCAATGTATATACTATTTGGGTACATGGACCCTTAGGGTGATGATCCGTATGATGACGACTACAAGGGCGACAAACCTACGCATAATTGACAGCTGCTGGGTCAGCAGCTATGGACACTGCTACTGCTGCCTTCTGCAACGCACCACGGCGACGACGACACGAGTGTTGCTATTCCTGTAATTAAGTGGCCCTAAACCTACTGTGACAGCGTAATGCTACCGTAAGAAAACCCAAACTGCGGACGAGCTTGATTGGCCCCGTCTGGTGGGTTTGGGGTTTGAGCGTTAAAGCTTTATTTTCAGGGCAGAAATACAAGGGCATAATGTTTCAGTGGGAATCCAAATCATCCAAAACTGCCTTAACCCTGAACGATACCGCCTTAAACTCAAAATGGCCGAAATGATATACACTTAAATCTCAAAACCCTGAAACCTAAGCCTGGAAACCCGACACCCTGTAGAAAACCTCCTGGATCCCTTACTAAAGCTCCATAGGACCCTCAGAAGATCTAATTACATCCTAAAGCCCTGAAGCCAATGAACCTTAAACTAAATCCTAAAGCCTAAACCCTCCAAAAAGCCCTCAATCCTAAAATCAAGGCCCAATAAATCCGGAATCCTGTAAGCCCTCAATCCCAAACCCCAAACCCGTAATGAGCCCTAAACCCCAAATCCTAAACCCTTAAAGACCCTAAGGGTTTAGGGTTTAGGGTTGAGGGAAAGACCCTAAAGCCTAAACCCTTACAGACCCCATACCGGGACCCTAAATTCCAGGCACGCGTCTCGTTCATGCCAAAGTCTAAAGCATGGCCCGGTCTCGCGCAGCACGTATACCTGAGAGTTAGGATTAGGGCGGTTTAGGGTTTAGGGTTTCCCCTAAACCCGTAAAGCCCTAAACCCCTAAAACTAAAACCCTAAACTCTAAACCCCCTAAACCCTAAACCCTAAACCCTAAACCCTAAACCCTATTGGGGAATAAAGTCCCTTTTAAGAGAGCCAGAAGTAGGGCTCAGAAGGGTCCCCTGTACGGGGTCTCCCTAATTCTACACGGTTTAGGGTTTAGGGTTTAGGGTTTAGGGTTTAGGGTTAATCCTTAAGCCCTGACCCATACACACTAAACCCCAACCCCTAAACCCTAAATTAGCTCTAGAACCTAGGTCTACCTTCGGTTCTGTAAGGATTCCTGTGAGGGGCCAGGGGTTACTGTAAGGGTGGTAGGGTTGGGCAGCAGAAGCGATTTAGAATAGGGTTTAGGGTTTAGGGACGGTTTAGGGGTTTAGAATTTAGGGTTGGGAACAGAAAAAAAACGGGCCGTCATCATTAATTAAAAGAAACTTTCTAGTGAGGGGGTCCTCTAAAGTGCTCTACAGGGCTGTTAAAGGTCTAGGGTTCTGGGTACTTCAGGGCTGTACATTTTGAACACGGTTCTCTTTTCATAGGGTTCTATACGGGTTGCTCTAAGGGATACTTTTGGGTTTGGGATGGTTTCGGTTTAGGGGCCTGAACGTATCCGGGACACAGGCTAGCCCTTTAAAGGTTCTACAAAAACTCTACGTAGGGTTTGAGGGTTCAGGGTTTAGGGTTTCCAGAGACTGCAGAACAACTGTTTACAGCTTACCTTAACCCTCCAAAACCCACTTTTTTGCAGGTTCCTATTATCAACCCTAATATGGGATTTATAGGGACCCTGCAAAAAAGTAGTGTGGCGGGTTAAGGTACATCTTAAATTGAATAAAAAATAGAATGAAAGATCCTCGGGAGTACTCCGTAAGTTACGGGGCTGTCCAAAAAAGGTTGTGCGGGATTCAAAATTGAATCGCTATTGCGCCAGTTGTTACAGGGTTATGTGAATGTGCATTATCAGCTGGGGCTATCAGAGCGGCTATCAGTACTTCTGCACGTATTTACTGAGCTACTTCGCCACGCGATACGATAAGTACGGGTCGGGTCTATCTACGTTGGGTCTCACTCTTGCCTGATGCACTCACATGTCATAGACTTCTGAAGCCCTTTTGCTGCATCGCAATAGCAATCAAATCAATAAAAATAAACTCAAAACAAAGCGACGTACATACACACACACGACATGCACGCATACATACATACATACATACATACATACATACATACATACATACATACATACATACATACATACATACGTACATACATACATACATACATACATACATACAAAGTACATAGATACATACATACATCCACATACTTACATACATACATACAAACATACATACAGACGTACATACATTCATTCTGAATTCACATAAACATACGTGCACATACGCATACATACAGGAACCGGCATATCTAACGCTCTCTCTCTATCTCTCTCTTTCTCTCTACATCATATATATATATACATACTATGTACATACATACATACATGCATACATACGTACGTAGATATAGATTGACAGATAGATAGATGGATAGACAGATAGTTGGTTAGATAGATAGATAGATAGATAGATAGATAGATAGATAGATGGAAAGAAAGAAAGATAGATAGATAGACAGATAGATTAGATAGATGGTTAGATAGATACGTAAATAGATACATCAATTGATAGCTAGATTGATAGATTGGTCGATATATAGATCGGTTCCATATGCATGCAACCTTACGTGGAAGCAACCAGTGACAACAACCCTGGTTATAAAAGCAGCATGATTTTGATGGCCATGATGATGATGATCATGAAGATGAACAATAATAATATGATGATAATGGTGATGATGATGGTGATGGTGATGATGATGATGATAATGACGATGATGATGATGACGGTGGTGACGATGATACTGTTATGACGAAAAATGTGATGGTGATGGTGACAGTTGCGGTGAGCGTGGTGGTGAATTAAAAGAATATCATGATGGTGCTAGTGTTCATGATCGTGGATGATGACGGTGAAAGATGTTGATGCCGGTGACCATGCTGGTTATGAAGTATGTTGAGTCAGTATTGATGGTCATGGCGATGGTAACAAAGTACCAAGTGATGAGGATTGTGCTGGCATGGTGGTAGTGTATAGTGCCTTCTCAGTAAGAAGAATGTGGCTACCTTGCATATCCTGATCAAGAGGGCCTAAACCCTAAACCCAAAGCCCTGAACCCCAAACCCTAAACCCTAAATCCTAAACCCTAAATCCTAAACTCTAAACCCCCAAACTCTGAGCCGAAACCCTAGACTGTGAGGCCGACCGACCTCAGACTTGTGGTAATGCGAGCGAGAAAAGGGCAGTTCCGGGTTTAGGGTTTAGGGTTTAGGGCTCCCGTCCAGCCGAAGTAGCCAGGCACCATCACGAGCCAAGAGTGCAAAATAGCCTAAATCCCTAAACCTACACCCTCACAACAGCCTAAATCCCTAAGCCCTAAACCCTAAACCCTCAAAATAGCCTAAACCCCTAGGCCCGAAACCCTTAACCCTCAAAATTGCCTAAATCCCCAAACCCTAAACCCTCAAAACACCCTAAACCCTAAACCCTGAACCCTCAACCCTAAACCCTAAACCCTAAACCCCTAAACCCTAAACTAAACCCTAACCCTCAAAACACCCCTCACTGAATGACAAGGCCTCGGAAACCTCATGAGCCAAAGGTTTCTGCAGAGCCCGGGTGTCTCCAAAACAAAAAAAATCCTAAACCCAAAACCACTAATTTCAGGGTTGAGGGTTCAGGGTTTAGGGTTTAGGGTTTAGGGTTTAGGGTTGAGGGTTCAGGGTTTAGGGTTTAGGGTTTAGGGTTTAGGGTTTAGGGCCTAAACCACTAATTTCAGGGTTGAGGGTTCAGGGTTTAGGGTTTAGGGCCAGTTTAGGGTACTCTACAATCTAAACACTGAGCCCGAAAGCTAAACCCCCCAGAGACTCCAATATCCCGTAATTAAGGAATATACCTTAAATTATAGTAGGATCCCTAATATGATTTAAGGTATATTCCTTAATTAAGGGATATTGGAGTCTCTGGGCCTAAAGTCTTTTGCAAGGGGCATCTCATTTCGTATGGCGGAAGCGAGTGAAGATCTGCCTGATGACGTCAAGCAGATCGGAAGCACCTCAGTAGTTTCGGCTTCGAGTCCTGCTAGAAACTTTTGGTTTTAAGGTTTATGGGTTTAGGGCTTTGGGTTTTATGGTTCTTGATATAACATGAAGCTGCAAAAATCCTACAGCACAGAATTTAAAAACGTACTATTGCGACTATTGCTGGTAAGATACAAAAAATTATTGTACTTCTGTATGTTCGGGGATCCGGAAAGAAATCGGGATGCATGACCTAAGCCCTAAACCCTACACTCTAGATCCTAAACCCTAAACCCTGAACCCTAAACTACCAGAGCAGAGTGCGGCCTCCCTTGTGCTCTGGATTTCGGGTTTAAGGTCTTAGCGTTTAGGGTTTAGGGATCTAGGGGTTTAGGGTTTAAGGTCTCAGGGTTTGGGTTTCAAGGCCTTGGGGTTTAGATGTTCAAGGTGTTTAGGGTTCTGTTTAAGAAATGTCAAGGCTTCTTCTGACTACGTTGTTCTTAAAAGAGGTTCTACAATTATGAGGGGTCAAATGAATTCTGCTACGCCTGTTTGTGAAAGACCCCCCTGACGCTAAATGTTATCTAGTGAGGGATGTACCAACGGACTAATTTATTTTTTCGCACACCCCTGTGTAGTCGCTTATGATCTATATCAAGTTCCTTTTCCACCCCCCCCCACTAGGATTCTTACGCAGGTTGCTATAAGGCTTGTTGCAAGGGGGTTAGCACATTGTTCTGTTGCCACAAACCCTGAATGCTCTTCGGAATGTTCCAGCGAAGTCCCTAAACCCTTAACCCGAAGCCCTAAACCCTAAACCCTAAAGTGCTCATATAAACCCCGTTCATGCAAGATGCAACCAACGCACGATGCTCTGGACATGGTATATGAGGGAGCACCGCCACGTTGCAGGTGGGTGGCTCTCTTCACTAGGGCCCCTTTCTAGGTCCCCAACCCCTAAACCCTAAACCCCTGAACCCCTAAACCCTAAACCCAACCCTAATTTTCAGAACTCCCCATGTGTTGACAGGGTTTAAGGTTTAGGGGCTTTGGGGGTTTAGGGGTTTAGGGCTTAGGGGTTTAGGGTTTAGGAATGTAGGCCCTGGGTTCAGGTTGAAGTTGCCATGGAGTTCTCGAAAGGCCAGTCTCGCCTGAGCGACCCCTGCAAAAAAGGCGCAGGACTCTCCCTTAAGGGGGCTCTGGGCTCATAAGGGTTTAGGGTTTAGGGTTGAGACTGTTTAGGGTTTTTAGGGTTTAGGGTTTGTTCCCTGAGGGTCCATGTGCCCAAATAGTATATACTTTACCCTTAAAGTAGTACCTACATAGGTACTTTGTGGCTAAAGTGCCCGGAAACACATAAGTAAAAGAGCGCAGGACTCCCCCCTTAAGGCAATTGCAGTCTGGACAACATGCTCAACTCTTTCCAACACTGCGACGCAGGTTGATGATCTGAACCCTAAACCCTAAACCCTAAGCCCTAAGCCCTAAACCCTAAATCCTGAACCGCAAATCTCTGGCTTGACCAGACTCCCTAAGGGTCCATGTACCAAAATAGGAGAAGATTGGCCCTAAAGTACCCATATAGGGACTACATTAAGGCCAATGTTCTACTATTTGGGTGCATGGACCCTTAGGGTAATATATGCCCACAGCAAGCGGTTAGGCTGCCACACCAGAGCAACAGCTTGTAGGGTTGAGGGTTTAGGCGTTCGGGCGTAGTGCCCTCCATCTGCGAAGGCACAGCGTCGCAGTTGCACCGCTGTGGTGTGAAGGCTTTGCATTTCACCTCGGTTCAGGGCTGACTTGGAGGTTTCACGGGACTTAGCAAGTATAGCTGTAGGTATATACTCATTAGATATGAAAAATATACCTACAGTTATCTTGGTTATACTCCTAGTTACTAAGTCTCAGTATACAAAAATTTAAATTTTGTGAATTGGGACTTCGGATTTTTCTCTCGGAGGTCGGGAAGTTAGGTTTTAGGGTTTAGGGGTTAGGGGTTTAGGGTTTAGGGGTTTCGGGTTAGGGGTTTAGGTGGGGACTTTAAGTTTCGGGACGATAGGAGAGCAGTGGGGCATCCCTACGAGGCTAAACTTAGAAGCCTAAACTGAGCCTCAATCGCTGTAATGTAGGGGCCTTAGTAATTAGAATAGGATTTTGGGGTATATTATACTATAATCGCTGTAATGTAAGGGCCTTAGTAATTAGAATAGGGTTTTGGGGTATATTATACTATAATTATAATAAGAAACCCCCAGAACAGTATAGGTGATTATTAAGGCCCCTATATTAACAAACAGCTGGGCTATACTATACTATAGCTATATACGGCCTACTAGGAGATGTAGCCACGTCGTGGCAATTTAAGTGCTCCTATGGTCCGTGCCAGCTGTCGTTTTTTTCGTTCGGCTGCTTGTCTTGCTTGATAGGCTTCTGAGAAGTCTAACACCAGATGTCATATCATGGACACGACATTGAACTCTGCTGAAGTATGAGCGGTTGCACTAGATGCCATGCATATACGCGTACGGCCACTCATATATATAAATATCTATATATATATATAGATATAAATA